ACCTGCTGCTGCCTGGGCACATGAGCAGGGAGTGGGTGGCAAAGAGCAGCATCTCGGCATGTGGCTGTGTACTCTGGCAGGACACAGTGTCCACTCTTCAACTGACAGCTCTGACCTGTGAGAATCTGTAGGTAAAACCCAGAGCAACAGCAAGTTTACTCACCATTTCTTTGCATTTACTCTGGGACCAGAGATGTGGTACACTCAATGAAGTCACCATCTGTGACACCAGCACACCTCAGCAGTTCCAACTGGAGTCCTAACTGCCCCTTGACTCACCCAGCTCCCTGCTAACACACCTGGGAAAGCAATGAGAGACACCCTACACCACATTGGAGCAGAGATACCAGGGAGAACTGCCCAGTCTCCCTGGTCAGAGAGCTGCCACTGGCTCATGCTCCCCTTCACCAGTGGTCCACTGCAGGCCAATGTCCAGGCTCGAGGCCAACACTTAGGAATGGTTTATTACTGGATTGCTTAAAGGGAAGGAAAACATCCTAACAAGTATTAGTTTTCTGCAGAAAGCTAATTCCTCTAAACCATGCTGGCTTTAACCCTGCCCATCATAAAGAACAGCCTGGAAGGTTTATGCCAGAGAGCACTGGAGCTGAGAGCTGGCCAAGGAAGTGAGGGGGAGAAGACAGCACCTCTCCAGGTGCATCTGTGAGTCCCTCAGGGACACCCAAGGCATGGGGAAGGAAAGGGGCCAAGAGTGGGCACTGCTAGGCAGGTACCAGACTCACCCTTCACAAAGGTAACAACAAATAAGGTGGGCTTGGTGAGAACCCTTCAAACCCCTAGCCTCTGTCACACCATAGCACTTCTGATCCAGGAGCTGGCCTCACAGAAGGCCACATGTGATTACAGCCATGCCAGAGGAACAGGACCGTTGGCACCAAAGGCAATGCGCTCATTCAAATCTCTTCTTACACCAAAATCCACACTTTCTAAACAGAAGTCGGAGCAGAGAGCTGAAGTCTCTTCCTGCAGAATGTCAGGTGGACATTCCCTATAGCCTCTCTCCAAGGACATTCCTTCTTCCCTGGCACCTCGGCACACACATTGTGGAGTCCCTTAACACCCAGCCCCATAGGGAGCACCAAGGGTGCATGCAGCACCCAGCCCTGTGGGGAGCACTCAGCCCTGTGTCATCAACACACATGTGGAACCCCTGAGCACCCAGAACCATGGGGAGCACCCAGCCCTGTAGGGAGCACTCAACCCTGTGTCCTCAGCATTGAGCCCCATGGGGAGCACCTAGTCTCCTGTAATGAGCACCCAGTCCATATCCTGAACATTCAACACATGGAAAGCACCCAGCCCATATCCTAAGCACCCAGCCCTGTGGGAAGCACCCAGGGTATGTGCAGCACCCAGCCTGTGTCCTCAGCACCCAGCCCCACGTCCTGAACACCCAGCCCTGTGTCCTGAGCATCCAGCCGCATGTTCTGAGTACCCAATGCCTTGAGGAGCACCTAACCCCATGTCCTAAATGCCCCAAGGATCTCCAAGCTGTTCATGTTCATCTAAAATTAACTATCCACCTTTAGGGAAAAGTCAGAAGTAATGGCAGGTAACTGGAGCTGGGATGTTTACCCAATTTGGCCCACATCTACACTGTCAGTGAATAAAAGTAGATCAAACAGGACCTTTCCTGTCTGCTCAGTTCTCTTCCTGGGTAGCTTCCTCAATGAAAAATTACTAAATCCACTCTTGCTGAAGCAATCAGTGCTGGCCAGATCCTCCAATGCAGCTTATGCTGCTCATAATGCTTCCGAGATGGGGGGACAGGACAGAGTTACACAGTGGTCTCAGAGCGTCCCCACTGCCTGAGACAGAGAGAGGGGTGAGTGCAAGTGAAAGGTCCTAGATTTGTTTTTGTTTTTGTTTTTAAGATTTTATTTATTTTTACTGGAAAGTCAGATATATATAGAGGAGAGACAGAGAAGAAGATCGTCCATCCCATTATTCACTCCCCTAGTGACCGCAACAGCCGATGCTGTGCTGACCCGAAGCCAGGAGCCAGGAACCTCCTCCAGCTCTCCCATGCGGGTGCAGGGTCCCAAGGCTTTGGGCTGTCTTCGACTGCTTTCCCAGGCCATAGGCAGGGAGCTGGATAGGAGGTGGAGCTGCCGGGATTAGAACCGGCACCCTTATGGGATCCCAGCGTGTTCAGGGCAAGGACTTTAGCCACTAGTCCTCGCCGCTGGACCTGGTCCTAGATTTGTAACGACATAGCCTGCTGTTTTTACCAGGCTATTGTGGCAACAGCCCCAGGATCTACTTTAGAAGTCGAGAGACACAGCAAACCACTTCATTCTGCACTAAAAGAAAAACAGTGACTCGCATGTGTCAGTGTGACCTCATGCATCCGTGGACCACTCACCACATGTCGATGTGAACTCAACAGCACATGGCACCCTCCTGAGTCGCAGGTCAGGTAAAACTTTTACTTCACCAGAGAGACCCTGGGGTTACCTCAGCAGGAGGCCTGTGGCTAGAGACGTGAGCACACTTGGGCCTTGCACACCTGGTAAGGGGAGTGGCCTTGCTTGCATACCTAAAAGGGTGAGCACTCTCGGGCCTTGAACTCCTAGAGGGGTGAGCACCCTCAGGCCTTGCACACTTGGTAAGGTGAGCACCCATGGGCCTGCACACCCGGCTGGGTGAGCACCCATGGGCCTTGCTTACCTGGGGTGAATGTTCTTAGGTCTTGCACACCTGGCTGGGTGAGTGCCCTGGGATTGGACCAGCACCTCCAGTTCAGGCCTTGTTGTTACTCCTCTGTAGGAGACTGGGGAGCAGTAAGTGCCACTTCTGAGTCCACTGGGAGTCCTTCAAGTGCGGAGAGCGAAGTGGGGACGGGGATGACTGGTGTTTCCTGCAAGTTTTGTTTTGATTTTGTGAAATATTACCTGATAAGTCACTTTAAACCTTAAAATAATATGTCGCTAGACTAAAAAAAAAAAAGTTTTAGCTGTACCAACATTTTCTCAAGAACTTTTTCAGGCAGAAACAGTACTTGGGAGTGGACACCTAGGCACCTGTGGGCCAGACACGGGGTTGGGCCGGGGACCTCGCTAGGCGGCGCTCTGGGCGCCACAGCAACCCCTCACTCAGCTCCCACTCCCCACCTCCACACACTTCGAAGGGAAACCGCTCTGGCTGCCTGGGATCTGCGGAACATGAATGGAAGCTTGCACGTGTCAGTCTCAACCGCACGAGGAAAGCAATACCAAACTCTCACTGGGAAACCCGGCCTTTTGCTTCTAAGAAGAGCGGAGATGACAGCACACAGGCGGCAAGGGAGTCAGCGGCGGGGACGTTTAGAGCCCACGACACTGCCTTGGCCACCGCTGCCTCCGAGGAGGAGGAGGCAAGGGATGAAAAGGCAACGTTGGAGACGCAAAGGACGAAGCAAGAAGAGATAAAGGGCAGAGAGAAAAGATACCGCATGAGACAGAGACTGGCAGAGTGCACTGGCACACCTGGGGAGCCCGCCACAGCTGACCAGTCCCCGCCCAGCACCCGCAAGCTCCCCGCTCTTAGGACGCGCTCCTGGAGGAGACGGTCAGGTGTGGCGCTCCCTCCCCAGCCACGCGGCCGGCTTGGAAGGTGTCCAGCTCCTGCCCAGAAAGCCCCGGCAAAATGGGAAAGTGCGCAACTGACGAAAAATGCGATTTACAAGAAGAAATCCGGGAGGCGGACCGCTGCAATTCGCGGCCGAGGGCGCAAACTTTCTCCAGGACGCGGACTGGGGTCTGCCGCGGCTCTTCCGAGACGGCCGGGGTACCCGCCACCGCGTGCGGAGCCAGGGGTCTACATGTGGGCAGCGCCGGCAAGTTCCTGGTAAAGGCGTTCCGGGCGATCCTGTCACCAGGGACGGTGATGGAGGGGACGCAGGGGGGCCGGGCGCGGGGCGGGGCGGAGAGGAAGGAGCGGGGACCGGGAAGTGGGGGACGGGGCGGGGGCGGGGGTCTGACGAATCTGCACGCCGGTGCGGGCGCTCCAGCGGCTTCTAATTAAAGCCGGCCGGGAGCCCTCGGGGACCCGCCTGACGTTGGCGAGCGTGGGGATAAGAGGCGCCCCGACTCGGCTGCGGGAGTCGGCGCGGGCGTACCCAGGGAGGCTGGGCCACCTCGGAGCGGCGACTCCCGCATCCCGCGTGCCCTGCGCCCCGCAAGCCGGGCGCGCCGGGCATGGAGTAGCTCTGAACTCAGGCTGGGGCGCACGGACTCGAGGTACACTAGCTCGGGGCGCAGGCACAGGCGCCCCAGACATTGCAGCTCCGGGCGCGGGCTCAGGTAACCCAACTCTGCTCAGGTGCTCAGGTGGTCCCTGCGGGTGGCACAGGGCTAGGGTTAAGGGTCTTTCCGGGCGGCCAAGCGCGGGTTTGGCGTCAGAGTCCGGGCGCGGCTGGGGACCTCGTACCAGGGAAGCTCCCGGCGCACAAAGGCGACGAGAGACCAGGCCCCGCGTTCCGCGCTGCCGTGGCGGAGGTGTGGGTCTCTCGCAGGAGCCTTTCCAAAGGTGACGGAAAGTTGGGCAGTGCAGGCTCCATGGTGTCCCGGCCCACCATGCAATGCGTAGGGAAGCTGGACCGGCGGGCACACCGAGGACCCCCGCAGTCGCCGCTGTCACCCGTTCCGGGTGGGACGTGGGGCGGTTCCTCGTGGACTGCGCCTCTGACCCCGACCTGCGTCCCAGGCCACACTGCGCAGGGCGCCCTTTTGCGGGGGTGCGGGGCTCCAGGAAAGAGGGGGCCCTGGGGCCCAAGGCTGCCGGGCGCCGAGGGTCTCAAGGAGCTGGATCCGGGAATCTGAGCGTGCGGGGCTCAGTGTTGGAAGGGAGGTGCAGGGTCCGGTCCCCTGCGGCCTGGCGTGCCCGCCCTCTCCCGACTTGGCTTCTAGCCCGCTGACCGTCCTCCCTGCCCCCGTCCCTTCTCCCAGCCAGCCGAACTCCGAGAGCGCGCGGAATCCGCCGGCCGCGCCCGAGCTGCGATGCGCGGGCCCGGGCGCCCCCTCCTCCTGGGGCTGCTGCTCGTGTTGGGGGCGACGAGGCCCGGCCGAGGGGGCGCGGAGCCCCGGGAGCCCGCGGACAAGCAGACGCTGCTGCGCCTCATGGTGGAGATCGTCCAGGAACTCAGGAAATATCACTCGGGGGACCCCAAGAGGCTGCGGGTCCTCGGCGCGCAGGATGACGCCCTGCGCCTGGGGGAAGCATACTATGGCACAGACCCGGAGGAGCAGAGAGTGGGTGAGGGTCCCGGCAGGGTGTGGACGGGAGCGGAGCGGGCCGGAGCGAGTGAGGGTCCCCGGTGTGAACCCAGAGGACAGGGAACAGGAGAGAATCTCAAGCCCAGTGTGAACGGAAGCCCTGCAGTGTGGACAGTGTTGTCCCCGTGCCTCAGGGCCTGCGTGTCAGAGAACACTCAGGATTTGTATTTGCTTGGAGGGAGAATTGTCTTTGAGAATTATTATTATTGTTGTTGTTGTTGTTGTTATTAAACCTATTTTGATTTATTGCTTTAGGAAAGAATTTTTGCTTTAGGAGAAACCAAATGGCAGAAACAGGAGGCCTGAGGTCTCAGGATAGCAGGTCTAGGCTGCCCTTAGGTCCTGTAGCTGCCTGCCGTCTGGGTCTGCTGTGTGGCTCGCCTCTTGGTGCAGAATCCGCTCAGGACGAGCCGGAGACCGCACTGGCCGGGGATGACAAGGAGTCCTAGTGATGCCCAGGCACGGTGGGGATCCCCGAGGAAGGGCTGTGGAAAAGAGAGAGGCCACGGAGGGAGGAGAGCTGGCTTGGGAAGGACTCTGGTCGAACCTGCCTTTTTGGAAGCCAGGGTAATGCTGTCTCCATTCCTTTGAGCCAGTCTTACCAACAGGTGGTTTTAAATGCATTTAATTCTATTTTAGAAAAGGATTTTTTAAAAAAAATCAGGTTTTCTTTTCAGAGTTTGAAACACTGTGGAGTTTGAGTCCCAAGTACTTGAAAATCAAGGTTTCTACAAATAACTTTTTAAAAAAATAAAAGGACAATTCTTAGGTCTTATCCCTGCTGCTTTATGGCCTCTGCCTCCATCCTGGCACTGGGTACATGGCTCATGTTGGGTACCATGGGCTGCAGATCCCATGTTGGGTGCTGTGGGCATCAGGGCCTGTGTTGGGAGCTGTGGGTGGCAGAATGCATGCTGGGCACAGAGGGCAGTAGGACCCACGTTTGACATGGTAGATGGGAGGGTCCATGTCAGGCACCGTGGGTGGCAGACCTGTGTCAAATAGAGTGGGCAGCAGGACCCATGTTGGGCACCGGTGGGTGGCAGGGCTGCGTGTCCATCAGTCGGGTGCTCAGGTTACTTTACTAGAATGTCAGGGTTCAGGCAGTCGTCCTCAGTGCTCACCCCAGGCCACATCTGTGAGAACGCTTCCCTCCACATATGATAACGACTCTTTTCCCTCACACAGAAATCGTTCCTAGAGACCTCAGGATGAAAGACAAGTTTCTGAAACACCTCACAGGTGGGTTCCTCCACATCCCTCACCTGGTCTGGAACCTGCACAGCCTCCATGCCTTCACCAGCTCTTTTCTTCTTCCTTTCTAGGTCCACTCTACTTTAGTCCGAAGTGCAGCAAACACTTCCACAGACTTTACCACAACACCAGGGACTGCACAGTCCCTGCATGTAAGTGGCAGCACCCCAGATCCACCCCCAGACCTCCTTTTGCCCTCTGAGTCTCCTGTCTACTGGGACGTGACCCTTCCTAACACTGGAGTTATAACTGGGATGACCAGACCACTGGAGATCATTCAGTCCCCCCCGGCTAACGCCAAGCAGAAAATCATGTCTGGAACTCACTGGAATTGATCAGTCCTTGGAATGGCCTGGAAGCCTCCTGGGTTCACACACCCCATTCTGATTGTAACTCCCCTCTTTGTCACCACTGGGCCATGACCATTCCTGAGAAAGGGCATTGCTGCAGGAGCACTGCCCGGGCTGGGCCTGGGTCCCAGGGTCAGCACACCTGGCACACTCTGGGCTCAGCACTGGATCAGAGGCTTGCTCCCTGCCCCCCCACAGCTGCAACCTCATCCCCCAGGAATGCTGCTGCCTGCCCTGCCGTTCCAAGCTGCCCGTCTTTTGGGCGCTCAGCTGTGTGGCTCACTCTCCCATGGCTGTTTCTTTACGTTCTCTTCATACTTCTGGTTGCTTTTCCATAACAAAACATATTTTTCCCCAGAAGAGGATCCTTGCCTTCTTCATAAAAGCATTGATTTTTTAAATTGGGACTACAACTTTGATTTCATGTGAAGCTCACGAAAGAGTAATTGGGCGGAAACAAGAGGAATCTGCTCAGGGCCACAGCAACTGCCCTGAGAGCAGCCTTCCCGGCTGGGGCAGAACAGCAGGAAGAAAGCCAGGCAACCAGCAGGAACAAAGCACCAGAAGAGGAAACACAGAAGGCAATTTGTGTAAAGGAGAGGTGTTCTTCCCTTGGCCTCGCCAGGAGTTACTCATTATTAAGAGTAACTTACTATTAAAAGTATGTCTGAGGCACATCCCCAAACATTCAACCAGCAAGTCTCAGGCAGCCCTGCAGGTGGCTCCTCCGCAGCACTGGCCAAAGCCAGGCGCAGGATGCTGGCCTCGTGACAAGGTCTACCTGGCCAGCTTCAGTGGCTCCTGCATGTAGCAGCACCCAGGTCAGTGCACAGGGCTCCTAGGGTGCTGCGGTGGTTATTTCCAGGCACTGTGCCCAGCCCGTTCCCCTCACTGTGTGCTGCTGTTCTCGACACAGGTCTGAGAAGCACACACCTGGGCCCCAGAGCCAGGGAACATGGCTCAGATGTATACACATTTTGTGTTAAATATCACCTGAAAATAGCAGGATCTTGGATTCTAACATGGAAACTGACCTTCAGGTCTATGCCACCAGTCCATACCATGTCTGCCAGGTGCCCTGACTCTGCAGAGGGGGCTGGTAGATCTATGTGCCAAGTGCAGCTGGCACCTGTTGGAGAGCTGAAGAGGGCCATTTCCAGGCTGCCCTAGCTGTGCAAGAGAAAAATCCCTGAGACCTGAGTCAGAACCCTAGAACCTTGGTATCCTCACATACCTGACTCACAAAATTAGCACCCTAGTGCCAACCCCCAGGCTCCCATGCCCTACAGGATGCTAAGCCAGAAAGGTAGGTCCATGCCAGCCTGCCACAGATCACAGGGGAATGCCCAGGGAGCAGTTCTTGGCGAGTGCAGTCGGCTTTTGGGAGGCCACATGGCCAGAACCAGGTAGTGGGCGCGGCTGCCAGCTGTTAGATAAGCTTTCTCCTTTGAACTTAAACAGACCCACCCTGGATGCCTGCAGCGTTAGCTGTCTCCTGGGCCCTACAGGACAACTGCTGTGAATTCAATCTGGTGCACCAATTTCGTTGAGTGTGAAGCTTATTTTCAAGTGAGACTGGGCCGCTCCTGAAAAATTCAAATTAGGAAGCTATGGACTCTGTGGTCACAGCCCCTCCCCGCAGGCAGCAATGGACAAAGCAGTGCCCTGGTGCTTCCTGTGGATTCACTTTCCTCAGGGCTGTAAGGTAGAACCCGGGAGAGCTCAGTCAGCTTAGCACCAAATAACGCAAGTGGTGGGCAGACACCGGCTGCTGTCACAGCACTGGGGGTCTTCCCGCTGCTCAGGAGAGGACACCGCGGGAAGGCAGCCTGCCAGGGCCCATCCTGCTCCCCTCACGTGATCTGCTTCCGCCTTCCCAAGCTCCAGACCCAATAGTCACATCACAGCTCAGAGTCCGCGGCGACAGACGGGCCACTTGTTCCCGAGGGATCCGGGAGGTCGGGGGGGTGGGGGGGGGGGGCTTTGGCCCTGAGCAGCCTCAGTGGCGCGGGCTGACCGCCTTGTGCTGCTTTCCTTGCAGACTACAAGCGATGCGCGCGGCTCCTTACCCGGCTGGCCGTCAGCCCCGTGTGCGCCGAGGGATGAGGTAAGCTCCCGGGCTTCCCCACACCTCCGCGGCCCCGCGGCCCCGGGACATCCCTGGGCTTACCGCAACCCGAAACACCCCCTGCTGCCCTGACACAGGTTGGGGCGGCCCACCTGCAGCGAGGTGGGCTCGACCCCAGCATCCGCCATAGATCCGTGGTGCCCCCTGCTGGCCGGCCCGCGGAGCCGGGGGCACAAGCTTCCAGCTTGAACCCCTCCTAGGCTCCCTCACTTGGACCTGTCAGGATGACAACAGGCGCGGCGCTCTTGGACCTGCCACGAGATCTCCCATCGCCCCACGCAAACACAGGTGTCCCGAGTCATTTCCTGCCCTGACCCAGACCATCATCGGCAGCGTCATCTTGTGGCTGTCTATAACATGAGGCACTGTTCTACCAAGTCCCTGGGGTTTACAGCCCTGCAAGCACCCTCCAGAAGACCTGTTCACCTTCTGTGCTTGTCATAACCCTTAGTGGTCAGTACAAGAGTCCATGACACAGACACTTGGCTTGGCTCCTGGGGGCTTATCAGCTATGCAGTTAACACACACAGGACCCAGGATTCAACTCTTGTTGGTGGCAACACAACATTCAATCTCACCAGCTGGCCTGTGGTTGCCTTGTGGGTGGGCACCCAGCACACAAGAGGAGACATGCCCCACTTGGGAAACATCAGGAAGAAGCAAATCACCATGTCCAGTTCACACCAGACACGAGTGTTCAGGCAGTAGCAGAAGGCGGGTGCTGGGACCAGCGCTGCAAGCGATCAGGATGGTATGTGTGGCCTGGCCTCACTCATACCCAGCACCCTAGGCCTCCCCATCAGAAGCAAGAGGAGGGACATGCCTGAAGTGGGCAGGTGATGCAGAGCTCCACAGTCACTGGGGGAAGATGCAGCTCCTTCCCCTCCCCCCATGGCAGAAGTCTTCATTTCACAGTGATAAATAGGTGATGTTGCTGTTGGTCTCCCTAGGAGACGTGCTGTAGGTGGGAATGGCACTCAATGTTGCCTTAGAGTGAAGCCACCACTGTCCGCAGGGAGGGGGCCAGGTATATACCTGCAGAAGTTCCCACTGTCTACATGTGAGGCTACCAGCTGACCAGGACCATGCTGGCATGTGTCTACCAGCACCTGACTAGTTGCCTCGCCCAGCTGCTGCAGGCACAGGCTATGCAGCTCAGCAGCAGTTGGAGCTCATGGTCACTCCTACTCCAGGTCCAAATACATGGCCTCATCCCTTCTTCAGTCCTCCAGCCTGGACCCCAGACCAGACCCGTTGGGTGACCGAGTGGGGAGCAGCTGTTCCCTCTGCAGTTGTGCCAATTTAACTGGGTTCATTTTGGACAAGAACTGGATGAAGCTTAAAGCACAAATATTCCAGTTAAAGTGTTTCATTTTGTTGACCCCTGTCCAAGGAGAGGACTAGGGCCACGGAGCTACTTCCTGGGATGGTCACAAGTTGTGACCCACCATGGCTAGGCTTCTTGAGGCCCTCACAGGACTGGGCACTCTCCCCCTGAACTTCCATAAGTATTGACAAGCTTTTTAAGTCACTGCAGAACTAAGCTGTTTTCCCAAATAACTCCATCTTGTGGAACGCAGGGTCATCTGCATGCATGCTGAGCTGCCTCATTCATACACAACATCGCCCTGTGATCATGGCTTTGCTAGACATGACAAGGTGTGTCGCTGTAACCAAATGCTTTTCTCAGCAGTGAGCAGAGCAGCGAGGCAACACCAGGACCACAAGAAGTGCCTTGGACAGCAAGAGAAGCGGCGCTGTCATTGTGAACAAGAGATTTATTTTTGCAGACAGACCCTCTACATCCCGTGCCCCCAGGTGCAGGTTCGTGTTCCACAGGGCAGCACACTTGCTAGTGCGAGCTCAGCCACTCCTTACAGAACCAGAGAACACCCCATGTGACTTTGTTGTATGGTAACACCAGACTTCATGTTCCTGATTAGGTGAAACCCCCAAGATTATTTTAGAAATATAGGCAGAATCTCAAACTCTATTTTCATATAGCATAAAGTATGATTTGATATTTTCTATTACTTTTTGAATTAAACTCCCAGAGTATTATTTGGTATTGCATGAAAAATTTAAAAACAAGAAACACTCTAGTTGTTTTGGAGACAGTGGAATGTAAATCTGTGAATATATAACAAATTCCTTGTTCTCTGTATAATAGATGTAAAATAGTATTCCAGCTATTATGCAATATGTAAATACTGTAAATAAAGACATAATAAATGAAGCATTTGTTATAATGGAGGGTCTCCAGAGTTGGTCTTCCAAGTTTCGATAGACATCTTGTGTGACAAGCTCATCCTTGGGGATTTGTGATTACAAATCCACCAAAGGATCATTTGCTGGCAGAATGTCACAGAATTTAAAACGGGCCAATGTGGTAGCTCAACAGGCTAATCCTCCACCTTGCAGTGCTAGCATCTCATGTGGGCACCAGTTCAAGTCCTGGCTCCTCTACTTTCAATCCAATTCCGTTAATGGCCTCACAAAGTTGAAAGGGATGGTCCAAAGCTTTGGGACCCTGCACCCACGTGGGAGAGCCAGAAGAAGCTCCTGGCTCCTGGCTTTGGATCAGTCCAGCTTGCAGTCATTTGGGGAGTAAGCCAGAAGAAGGAAGATCTGTCTCTCTCTGTAAATCTGCCTTTCAAATAAAATAAATAGGCTTTAAAAAAAATGGGGGGGGCATAAGTAAATGAAACTAAAGCTGGGAATCCCCATGGGATAATTCAGTTATCTTTTTAATAGCAGAAGCTACTGCATACTAGTGACATAATTTCACAAGGCAACGTCTGATTTCACAGCAACCATCCCAAGGAATGCAGAATCCACTATTTCCTATAAAACTGTTACAAGGAAAACACTGCATAAGTTTTCTAAGCAGTCCCAGGTTTTCATCAGATTTTAAACATCCCGTCTGCATGAAACAAGTCAACCGTGGTGTCTGAGGACCTGCCACAAGGGGGAGCATTTAGAAGATCCACTAGCAGACAGCAGTGTTTAGATCCGGAGTCTAACCTCGGAAACATCCCTATCTGACCCCTTTCTAGCCATCATCACGCTCCCAGTCCACCGAGTCCTGTGGCTAGCACAGCCTCCTGGGGCGCAACATCAGCAGGGGTACCCAGCTGCCAGGACCTATGGACAAGGCCAGGAGGAAAGGCCCACATCCCAGAAGGCCTGCCAAGGTGTGAAGTCACAGCTGTGCACAAAGGGTCAAGATGGAGGGAGGTGCCAACCCAGCACAGTGACAGGGCTGCTGCCAGGGCCACCCCGCTCCCAGGCCCAACCTTTTACTCATGTTGCCCTGGAGCACTGATGCATGACTCATGCATGTGGGAGGATTGCATGGAATTCCTGGCTGCTCCATAGCCCAGCCTTGGCTATGGCAGACATCTGGGGAGCAAAGCAGCAGGAAGACCTTTCTCATAAGATGGAAATTAAAACTCAAACAAAAGATAAGACAGGGAGAGGGCAAACTAGCACCTGCTAGCTAGGCAGAGGATGATGGGAAAGGAAATTCCGGCTGCAGGGACCCGAGCCCTCAATCAGATCTAACTGGTAGCAGTGAGCTGGACACTGAAGGCAAACATGCACACACATCACAGGCCCGGTGACAAAGGCCATGGCTTTATGCAAGCATCCACGGAAAAGCACAAAGACACGACATCCACATCTCACTGGTATTTCTGTAACTCCCCAGTTTATTTTGAACACAATCCTTTCTGGCATACAACCATGTAAGTTTGGGATTAGTTATCTGAAGGACAGAAACAACCTACACTTTTATACATTGATTAAAAGCTACCAAGGAAATACTTGTCAGTATACCAATACTTAGCATAGCAACTACATTGTCTTCCAACGTTTTGAATGTTTTCCCACCTAAACCAATTTGCATGTGGCACGCAGACAACGGCGTATGTCAAAACAGACCACAAAATGAGCTGGCATTCAAGCTTTCCTCTTCTGGATATAATTACATTTCAGAGACAAAGTGGCTCAAGTGGAGGAAATAAGCTGAGCTCCTCAAAAGATAAAGAGAAATCAGTGCTGACTCAATAAGCCCATTGTGTCTTTCCTGTCCTCCCAGCACACACATGTGCACTCAGGTGTGTGAACCAAAACTCTGCTCTCAGGGCAGATCCATGGGGGCTGTGGGGAAGGAGGGAACAGCTGGACCAGCAGAGCAGCCTCCCAAACCCACCGCCGGCCCTGCGCTGGCTGGGGAGTCACATTTCACTACCACACTTGTTCTGGGCTGTGGTGCCTGTTGGCAAATGGGGCAAAAGGGAAGACTTTCGGATTTTTATTTATTCTTCTGCATGTACAATTGTTTTCCATCAACAATTATTCTTAATAGAAACAATCAATGGAAGACAGACGAAGGCCCCTCGAGAGGCCCTAGCTGGCTTTATCCAGAAAGGCCCTGCAGCACCGCATACACTGCTGGTATACAGTCTCGAAGTCTGCGTCGTTCCCCTGAAATGACAGCCAGAGCAAAGATGACACCCTGCACAGTGCGCGTTCCTGGCCCCCACGCCCCCAGCTCCACTTCAGCCACAGGTGAGCTGCACTTACGTAATAGGGATCTTCAATAATGAGTTGTTTTTGTGGATCATAGCTCCCAAGCAGTTCAATTTTAGCCTTGCAGTTTTTAACTTGATTACTTTTTCTATTCAAATCTCTGTAAAATTGAAACATGAACTTAGTTTTCTGATCTGTGGTTTCAAGTTAAACAGGGACATCTGCTCAGGGTTTATGAGACAACCATATCAAAATCCAGCAAAAGTGACCTGATTTGAAATGAAACCGAAGACGCAGCAGATCTGTCTGACCCTTCCCGCAGCTGCGCGGCACAGCTCCGTCTCCTGGACAAGACAGCCTGCAACCACAGCGTAATCCCACTGCTTTGTCACACAAAATAGCTTCTCTAAGTCAGACAGCAATTATGTATGTTTTCTCCTGTGAAATGCATTCTCAGACAATCAAAAAGACATTGTTTGAGAGATAAACAAAGGTGACAGGAAGGAACTCAACAAGCCCACGTGCGAGAGCCGCAGCAGGCAGCATGTCTCACACTCAGCTCGCTGCTGGTGGGCTCTCCTTCCTCACGTTCCTCAGACTTTTACCCCTCAGCTCTCACACTCCATGCGCATCTGAGTCAGGCTTCCTGGGGACGGCCAATGTTTGCATGTGGCAAGGCAACAGCCACGAGTACTCACAATTGAAAGTGAACAAGGTGAATGGCTCAAGAGGCCAGCCAGAGAAGCACAGGCACCTCACAGCCCAAGGCACAGAGCAGTTTCCACAAAGACATGGACCTAATCAGGCCCAAGACACAGCAAAGAGCATGGGTATGCTATTCCACCCACATGAGGCTGGTTGTGGGCCTGCACCAGCCACAGATGAGAGCTACAGTGCAGGCCAAAAAACCCAAAACACAAAACCAGAAACCTATGGTTTTAATGGAGGGTCTTAATGAATGAAAAGTGCAAAACCATTACATTCACATCTGTTCACTTTTTTTATCAAAAACACAGAGTATTTATGAAGCAGACGTGACGCAGTCAGAGAATTCTTGCTGGGGCCAGTGGACCTGGGGAAGGAGCCTAAAATCCACCTCCCCAAAGCCCTCCACAGATAAGGCCATGGGCAGAGCCCAGAATCCAGAACCAACTGCTGCCTCAGGGTGAGTCACCGTTACCCAATGCTCGCTACAGTTTTTAACATCAATTAGAGACTTAGATGGGTCGGCGGGGACAGGGGTGGGGGTCAGCGGGGACAAGGGTGGGGGTCAGTGGGGAGAGTTATGATGGGGGAGCAAAATGAGAACCAGAACACACATCCTGCCTGTGAATCATCACTGTGGTAAGGCTATCAGCTGGACCAGGAGCATCGATGACCCATCTAGCAACAGTGCACCTGCTGGGAGACGCCCCTGCAGCAACTTGAGATCACACTATTGAGTTTCATGCTAGGCCCAAGGGACATTCTGTACACTGTGACCAATACTGTTAAAAATGTTAAGAGAAAAGTCACTTTGGACACAAACAACTTGACCTGCCAATGAATTGAGAGCTGAACAAAAACACTCCTCACCCAGATTACCTCAGATTGCTCTCGTCCATGCACAGGATGTAATCAAACGTGGCAAAGTCCTCTTTGGTAACCTAAAATTGAAAAAGAAGTCAAGATGTAGTGTTTGTCATTTAAGGCAGCAGGCTCAAAAGAGGTTCTAAAACAAAACCAAAAACTCATATTATATTTATGTCTGTCAACAATATAATGAAATGAACTCAGGATCCTTTCAGGTTGGAATACAGTTAACTACTTTCCCAAACGTCTGAAGCCATTTCATAGCCTTGAGCACTGCGAGATCACCACAGACAGCACGATGCTGCTGGGGTTGCCTGCCAAACACCTGCTTGCCCAGTTCACTCTGCTCAGCACACAGGAGATGGGCACTCTGCCCGGCCATCCGCAGTGCGGCGTGGGGATACCAAGGGTGGGTGTAGAACCTGACTGCTGGGGTTGGTCCCAGGGGTTCATCTGCTCATGCCCACATACAGTGATGGGCTAGTCCATACTTCATCCATTAGAAACAATGAGAGCAGGAAGGAGAAAGCAGACACACGGAGAGGGCTCCTCAGAGGATACCCCACACCGTTACATGGAGACCACCAGCCTGGCCCAGCGAAGCATCCTAGGCTCTCGCCCCTCCCACCTATGCACAACTCCAGGTCGCCCACAGGACAACTCCGGCTACACACACCACACACACAGACACAAACACCACACACACAGAGTTCTCCAGCAGCACTTCTATACAGTTTTCATCATTAGGAGAAACCCTATCATGTTAACATTTCCAAAGCATTTACTTCAAATGATATGGAACAATTATAATAACATTATTTCTCTAAATTACATGTGAAAAATGTACCACAATTCAATATTACAGTGTCTAATTTTAGACTGTAATTTATCTTTTTTTGTTTTTAAGATTTATTTTAGTTATTTTAAAGAGTTACAGAGAGAGGAAGAGACACAAATAGCCATCTTCCATCCAGTGGTTCACTCCACAAATGGCTACAACTGTCAGGGTGGGTCCAGGCCAGAACTGTGAGGAGCTTAGAGAGAGCACAGGACAGAGAAGGGTGGGATGCTTTGCCCAGCAACACCAATCCCCCAGAAAAAAATCAGCCCCAAGCACCTAACTTAAACAACACTATCTTCCAAGTCTGTGTCTTTTGATTTATATTACCAACAGGAAGCCACTCTCACCTCAAACTGGTGGGCTCAGCCTCTACCTTGCTAGACCTCAAACCTGAGTGCAGCATGAAGGACTGGCCCTGTGGGCCATGTCATCGGGCCACTGGGTTTCCCGGACACACATGCATGTATGTCACGTGTCTCGTGATTCCAGCAAAGCATTTGTGACAGAAGCAGAACAGCCCCATGACTGTGGGTCCAAACAAATCCCATGCATGATGTCCCGTGGGCCCAAGGGCAGGTTGGTGGGGTGGCTGCAGACAGAATGGGCCCAAGGGCAGGTTGGTGGGGTGGCTACAGAGGCAGAATGGAACCATGAGCAAGCAGCTGCTGGCCATCCCCCTTGTTAGGTAAAGTCACATGCAGTAACTTCTACAAGTACATAACAAACTCTGAGATGAACAGTGGAGCTAGAGGCCAAATGAAAGGGCCTGACCATGAGTTTCCAAGTGTGGCCAGACCTCCCAGGACTGCCCTTGGCACAGAGCCCTAAACGTCAGAAATCAAACAAGAGCTCATCTACCTGGCGTGCCCTATGGGCTGTGCTAATGCCATGATTTCCCAGGCAGCTTGTGGCTCTTGGGTCTGGGGACCGGCCTACATTCCAGTTGGAAACCGCGGCGCTGTCAATGCCCCACTGAAACACAAAGCACAAGTCTTCACGTCAAGTACGGTACCTGCCGGGCCACATGGCTCATGGGCACGCCGTGCCTCCTCATGCAATTCTGTCCACGGTAGTCAGGGGGGTTTCCTATCTCATAGGTGGATGTGGCCGCACTGTCTATCCTCCACTGCAGCAGAAAAGAGAGAGAGGTTTTTGTCCAGCAGTTTCGCACCTGGAGGCCTGGGGGATGGGCTCAGGACCCAGAACAGCACTCACCTTGTCAGAAAGGTTCTGATCAGTCACGAGCTTCCTGAAAACTGCCTCTGCAATGGGGGACCGGCAAATGTTACCTACAAAGGGGACACAGAACACGTGAGGCCAAGGGAGGACAAGTTCTGCTCCACGCCCTGGACACATAGCCGCCTGCCCTCAGGCCCAAGGGACAGAACTGGAGAAGGTCAGCTCAAATCAAACCCATCACTCAGGTTGCTACTCAACACAAGTGAGCTGTGTTACAACAGGTTTGTTTTAACTACGGGCAACCACCACTCATCCTTTCAAATCTATCACACACAATAAGGACAAATACTGCTTCCTGGAACACAGACCCAGGCAAATCCAACCTCACCACCTCCAAGTGGGAGGGTCACATGCCCAGCTCCACACCTGGAGGACTAGGAAGGACTCAGCCAACCCAAGGACCCCCAGGGTCAGGTTAGCGAGAGCAGATGACACAGTGTCTGGGGGGTGGTGGGGCAGAACACAGTGAGGACAGCAAGAGGGGAAGTGGGGAGACAGGATGCAGTGAGAACAGGTGTGACATGGGGAACAGGATGTAGTGAGGACAGCAGGAGGGACGTGGGGGACAGAACGCAGAGTGAGGACAACAGGAGGACGTGGGGGACAGAATGCAGAGTGAGGACAGCAGGAGGGACATGGGAACAGGACACAGAGTGAGGAAGGAGGTTTTAGTTCCAAGGCAAATGAAGACTATACAGCAGCCATGGCAGGCCAGGGCAGCTGACCCAGCATGACCATCAGCTCTGAGCCCTCCTACTCCTGAGCATAGGTAGGGTCCTCTGCCATGCAGGTCTACAGAAGCTACGAGAGTAACTATGCAACCATTTTTGTTGTTTTGTTTTGTTTTACTGCAAAGTCAGATATACAGAGAGGAAGATCATCAATTCATTGATTCACTCCCCAAGCAGCCACAATAACTGAGCTGCGCCGATCCGAAACCAGGAGCAAGGAGTCTCTTCCAGGTCTCATGGCTGCATGGTCCCAAAGCTCTGGGCTGTCCTCGACTGTTTTCCCAGGCCACAAGCAGAGAGCTAGATGGGAAGCAGGGCCGCAGGGATCCTAGCATGTTCAAGGCAAGGACTTTAGCTGCTAGGCTACTGCGCTGGGCCCAGTCACTGGTTTTGCGTGCAAGGAGGATGAGCCACTGTTCAGGCCTATAATGTGAGCACTGGGCATATACAACACAGTGCTGTGGGGCATCATGTCCTAGACACCAACACCAGGAACCGCCTAACGGTGGCAGGAAACGACAAAGGATGGGACAGAGAAACTTTTAGGACAGCTCCAATCCCAGTTGTGTGCCACAGAACCTTCCAGAAACAAACTGTTAGAACTCACAGCCCACGCTATTAGAACTAGAACCTTCTAGCATGTGCAGAACACAGCTGGCTCACTCCCCCATGTACACCACGAGACCAGGGCCACAGGGCAGTGAATCCTCTCCAGGATTCACCTGGAAGCCCCTACACTGCTCTATGCTACAAGGCTTCCCCACCACATCCAAGTGCTTAGTTTTTAAAACACGTGTGTCAGCCACACTTCATTTAGTTCAATGCAGAGAGACAACAAGAGCGCAATCTCACTCCCTGGTCTCTCCCTAAATGTCCTCAATATCGATGGCGGGGCCACGCTGAACCCAGGACCCGAGAATGCTAGCCAGGTCTCCCATGTGGCTGGCGAGTCCCAGGGCTTGGATCAGTGGGGTTTGATACTGAAAGGTGGCTGGAGGCCGGCAGCCTGTGGCCTGTGACTGTTTCCCTGCCTGTGCTCTATTCCACACAGGCAATGGTCACCTTGAGGGGTCTCTAAAAGCAGTAACACACAGTTACTACCTCACAAACACCCCACTCCTGTCCCAGCCTTCTTCCACATCACATTCCCACAACAATACAGAGGTTAAACTACCTAACCCCAGACGCCAAGTTCCCAGAGTACACAGTGAATTCACCTGCACCCTGGAATCCCACCTCCACAACAAGGGGGGGTGGGATCCAACCCTGACTTTGCTTCCTACTAACACATCTGAGAGCAGCTGAGAAGGGTGCAAGTCCACGGGTCCCACTGCCCTCGTGGGCGACTTGGGTGAAGTCCCAACCTTTGGCTTAGGCCTGGCCCAGCCCCAGATGGTGCCAGCATTTGGGGAGTAAACCAGTAGACAAAGATTCTGTCCATCTGCATTTCATATTAAATGATGAACAATTTAGAAAAAATTTTAAAAATCACTAATCATATAATCAACAGGAAGGAAATTCAAACAAGAGCAACTTGTGCCTGCAGAGCACTGGGTCATCAGCTAACGCAGAACAAGTCCTGGAGACGGTCCGCATCACTGTTAACTGCACCAAACAGTTGGCAGGTCTGGTCCTATCTCACAAGAGCAGGCACAGCCCCCACCCCTGCCTCTTTCTCTCGGCCTGCGACCTTTGTGCCCCACCTGCAGAGCTCCAGGACTGTTTCCAAGCAGCTCCGTCATCTTGTGAAAAGGGACAAGGACAGGTTCTGCCTGCAGGTGAAGTTCGACTGAAACTAAGTCCTGCACAGCCAATAAAGCAGCAGCCTTGCTCTCAGTGGGGAGAGGGAAGGACACGGGGGGGGGGGGGGGGGGGACGGGACACCCAGCCAAGGCGGGAGCTGCCTCACTGGACTAAGCCGCCGCAGCCTCAGGTGGAAATAAACTTCACTTGGAGCAGGGGTGGGTCCATGCTGAACAGCTCAAAACCAGCTGAAACCAGAAGGGCCTGCAAACCTTTCTCCATCCACGCACAGAAGGCGACACCTAGGGCTGGGACCCAGGTGACACATAGGTCTGCACACAGAGGTGCACCTGGCTCAGACTTCTCCGCCTGAAAGGAAGGTGGGCGACACCCCAAGACCACCACACAGCGGAATGTCTCCTTGAGCCGCGGTTTGCTTCTTCCCAGGCGCACCAGCCTCAGCGGGGAGCCGAAGAAGCGGGACTCCAACGGGCACTCATGTAGGGCGCCAGGGCCCTCTCAGCTCAGCTCATAACCAAGAGACGGAGAAAGGCAGCACCTTGTCCCGTAGCATGGGCCTCGGGGACCCCAACGGGGTCCCACCAACCCCCGCAGGTGCAAAGGGAAGGAGCCTGGCTCGTAGAGATGTGGCCGCAGGTGCCAAGGCGGCATGCGTGTGGCAGCGCGGGGACCCCGCTGTGGAGCTGTGCCCATCTATCTCCCTGCAGGCCCAGGGACGAGGGCCGGTCACACGGGCGCTCAGCGGCTCAGTCCTTCGGGGCGTCCGAGAATCCGAACAGACTTGAGCTCCCTCCCTGCGCAATGCACGCGCCCCGGAGGCTCAGTCACCTCGCGCAACTGCAGGGCGCACTCCGTGGCGGGTGTGGAACAGGAATTCCTCCAGTGAGTTCTGGGGTGTTCCATAGTAAAAAGACGGCACGGGGCCGGGCAGGTGCTAGGTGCCGCCGCCGCATGAGACCGATACGGTTCGCGGCCACTTACAAGGGCCCCCCGCCACTCGCAGGATGCACCTGAGCAGGGCTCAGTCAGCCCCCTCTTACCCAGACATACAAACAGGACCGACTTGGACGCCGGCTCGGCCATCTTCCGCGCGCGCACGACACTCCGCGAACACGTCGGTTCCGGGCCCAGGCTGCGCAAGCGCACGGCGAACCCCGCCTCGCGCGCCTGCGCAGTTTAGACACAGCGCCAACCAGCCGCGAAACCCTGCGCCTGCACAGAGGTGGGGCTGCGCCCGCGGTAACAGCCGGGGGTGGAGCCACAAGTCACCTGGAGGACGGGGGCGGGGCCTGAAGGCGCCCGGGGCGGGACGGGGGGCGGGGGCCAGGCTGCGAGGGCGAGGCCAGGAAGCGCCAGGGCAGGGGCGTGGCCGGGGCCGGGCTGCGAGGGCGGGGACGGGCCGGGCTGCGGGGGCGGGCCGGGCTGCGGGGGCGGGGCCGGGGCCGGGCCACGGGCTCGCGCACCTCAGTGCCGGCGCGGCGGGGCGGGGCCTGAGGCGCCCGGGGCGGGGACGTGGCCGGGCTGCGGGGGCGGGGCGGGGCCGGGCCGCGGGTTCGCACACCTGAGTGCGCGGCGGGGCGGGACCTGAGGCGCCCGGGGCGGGGGCGGGGCCAGGCTGCGGGGGCGGGGCCAGGGCCGGGCTGCGGGGGGCCGGGGGCGGGGCCGGGCCGCGGGCTCAGGTGCCCGGCGCGGCGGGGCGGGGCTTGGGCGCCACAGCCGACGGGCGCGGCGGAGCGACGACCCCGAGTCCCGCGGCCAGGTGCACGGGCCCGCCCTCGCGCACCCCTGCCGGACCGGTCGCTCGTTTCTAGAAACACCGTGTGGGCCGGGGCCAGGCGTGCGGAGGCGGCCCTGCGGGACGCGGGTACAAGTGGGAGTCGTCTACCTGCTCACCTGGCTCTGGGGAGCTGGGCGGAGCCGAGCGGGGCTCGCGCTTCCTCTTCCTGCTCTGGGCGCGGAGCTCCCGGGCGCGGTGCCGGCGGCGCGGGGCGAGAGTGAGTGAGGGGCGGCGGGGGCGTGGTCGGGAGGCGCGGGAGGGCATCTGCCTCTGCGCGGAGGGAGAGGAGAGTGCGGGAGGCTGCGTCCTGCGCCAGGAAACTCGCGGCTAGGGTCGCTGGGGGTCCATCCTCCTCTGCGGGAGACACATCTTGAAGGTCGCCCTCTAGGGGAGCCTGTTCGGAGGTGGGAGTGAAGATCTGGGTTTGGGGATCAAGGACAGGACTGGGATCACAGGGAGGGCGGTGCTGGCTGAGGTGACCACTGACCGCTGCTTAGAGTCAGGTCCTAGTGCTTCGCGAGCACAGCTGGGCCTCCGAGACTCCAGATGTGGGAGTCTCCTGCTCTTCGTGGGAGGAGCCCCATGTTGACCAAGGTGGCAGCAGCATGGCGGGAAGTGATGCTGGGAGCAGGCTTCTGGACAGCAGGTGTGCCTCCAGGATTTCCTGACCCTCCTGCTCATAGCCATCCAGCAGTCCCAAGAGAAAGGCCACAGGAGTGCCTTTGGGTGTAAAGTTCTTTTTAGGTTTCCCAGGAAGATACTTGATTGAACTAGGAAAATGAGGGCTCAGCTTAGTGTTCACGAAGTGGGATCTAACCAAAATCTTGTCACCCTTCTGTCACAGTGTGTGAGCTAGTGGACACCTTGTCAGGTGCTGTCACAGTGTGAGCTAGTGGACACCTTGTCAGGTGCTGTCACAGTGTGAGCTAGTGGACACCTTGTCAGGTGCTGTCACAGTGTGAGCTAGTGGACACCTTGTCAGGTGCTGTCACAGTGTGAGCTAGTGGACACCTTGTCAGGTGCTGTCACAGTGTGAGCTAGTGGACACCTTGTCAGGTGCTGTCACAGTGTGAGCTAGTGGACACCTTGTCAGGTGCTGTCACAGTGTGAGCTAGTGGACACCTTGTCAGGTGCTGTCACAGTGTGAGCTAGTGGACACCTTGTCAGGTGCTGTCACAGTGTGAGCTAGTGGACACCTTGTCAGGTGCTTGTAGTGATATGTACGAATCAGGCAACTTTGCATACGTACGTTTCTTTTGTTGACTGGAGCCCAGTGCACTTAGCCCAAGTACTGCGTGTCCTCTGCAACATCTAGTGAATTGGCATCTATTTCATATAAATTATGTAAGTTAATGATGTCATTAATGTCTAATGAATGAAAATATGATCGCTTTTCTAAACTTTCCTTTCCTGATGGTTTTCTATCATACCTTTGAGGAGAGTGGTACAGTGGATGGTAGTCCTGGGGGGTAGTTGCGTTCCCTGAGCTTGGGCTAGCTTGGGGAGTTCAGCAGGGAGGGCTTTAGTATGTCCTTTGCTTCTGACCCTTGTTAGAGAGCTACACTGATAACAATTGACTGCAAGTCACTGCTGGCCCCAGTGACCCTAACCCTCATTTGAATCACCTGCAATGTGTTGTAAAATCATTTCCAAATAGTAACAGCTATGGCCATTTCCAAGGGGTGGGGGGAATCTCAATAGTCTATAAACCTTCAATTAAAAAAAAAAGAGCATCCTGGTGTGCAAATTGTCAAATATTTTGTTTACTTTTACAGGGAACTTTACATGTAAATGTTTCTCAACTTGAGATTTAGCACTTAGGGAAAAACTCAAATATTTACAGAGAATTTGCTCAACTTGGACTCGAGACTTGTCAGGCTTTTATTTTTTTTTTTTTTAAATTTTAAGGATTTTAAAGTTTTCTTTATGTGAAAGGCAAAATTAGAGGGAGACATACAGTGAAGCTTGCCATCTACTTCTTTACTCCCCAGATGATCACAAAGACAAGGCTGGACCAGGCCGAAGCCGGGCGCCTAGGTTTCCACCCAGATCTCCAACTTGGGTGGCCTGGGCCAAGGGCTTGAGCCGTGAAATGCTGCTTTCCCAGAAACATTAACAGGGAACTGGTTTGGAAGTAGAGCAGGCAAGACTTGAAATATCACTCATATGTGATGCTGGCTTAGCAGGTGGTGGCTTAACCTGATGCACTACAATGCTGAGCCCTAATTTTTTAAAATTTTTAGATATTTTCATTTTATTTGAAAGGCACAATAACAGAAATCTTCCTTCTGCTGGTTTATCCTCCAGATGCCTGCAGCATCCAGATCTGGGTTAGCCCAAAGCCAAGAGCCTAAACTCCATCTGGGTCACCCTCATGGGTTCTTGAGTTCTCACCTCATGCATCCTGGATGTGCAGCAGCGGGGATCTGGCTCCAGATAGGAATTGCTGGGACCAGAGCAGGCCCTCGCATATGGGATGCAAGGAGCTGGCTCTGGACAGGAAACATTGTGACAAGAGCAGGCCCTCTCGTATGGGATGCCGGCAGTCCAGGTGGGGAGGGACCAGTGTCAGTGTGTACTTTTGACAGAGAAAGTCTGTGTAACTATGAGCAGGAATGTGACTTATGGAGAATTCATAGGATGAGAAATCTGATAGGCTGACAGTTGTACCATCTGCCTACCTAGTCCCAGCCCAGTAGCCTCCTTCCTGTGTTTATAGAGCCGTCTGTGATCTTGCACTAATGCAGGATGTTTAAAATAACAACTCTTGACTGTGGCATTTGCTAATTATACCAGATAGATACTGCTTGCTTGAGAGTTCAAGGCAGAAGGTCTTTTGCCAGGACATGGTTTACACATTATTTACTCAGCTTTCATTGCACATGTGGGAAAATCTGGTCTGAAGTGACTTTAACAGAAAGTCCTGAGCTTGGCCAGGACTCACTCACTCCCTTCTGCCATGTGCTCCCTTGGTTTGACCCTGGGACTGCGCTTGTGCGGACAGAATCCTCTTGGCCACTGGGACCTGCCTTGGACCAGCTGGTTCTGCCAGCTCCCACAGGAGGCTCTGGCTGGGTGCTGGGCTTGAACCAGCCTTGCTGGGAAGCTCTGCTGGGCAGGAGTGCCTGGGCTTGACTGCGATCCAGATGCACTGACCCTCAGCAGGTGCCTGGGCCACAGACCAGCCCTACTGCTGCTGAAATAAAGTGGCTCCAACACTCAGCAGCAGGAAGAACCAGTTTCCACTGCAGGTCACCAGTCTAGCTCCCCAGAGCCTACTGAGCCTCTAGGCATTCTGTTCTGACCTGTCAGGATTGAGTGGCTCAGATTCAGATTGAGTGGCTCAGAAAGAGATGTCAAAGTGCTGCTGGCACCCTCGTGTCCATCCTCACCCCGTGAGCAGTCATTTTGGGGATGGGAGTTGCTTGGGTCTGAAGGAGAGGAACAAAAATGGGAACAAAGAACAGCTGCGTGTGGCCACAGTGCTTACTGTGTAGCCAAGCACTGGTACGATGTTGTTTGAGGAAATGGCCATATGTGTTGAAAGCCAGGAACAGGGGCAAGATGGAGCTGTGTTCTGGTGTTTCAGGAAGGTTTGTTTTCCCATGGGGTTGACTGGGTTGGCCTAGGTGCTGAGCTCCAGCTCTTGAAAGCTGGTGGCAGAGAAGTTGCAGAGCAGGTCATGCAGCCTGCAGCCTAAGGGGTGGCGTTTGAGAGACCTTGGGGAATGCAGAGGCAAAAGGAGACAGGGCCTGTGGCTGTGGCTGCAGCCCTGACTGCCCCTACTTGGAGGCAAGGTCCAGTGAGCCTCCATCCCCGTCAGGGGCAGAAAGTACGCCAAGCAGCAAAACAGCAAATGCAAGTGGACAAGAAAAAAAAATTTATCCCTCTTGTCGTCTTTCTGATGTGCCTCACCAGCAGTGAATGTGTTACTTTGTTTTTAAGATTTCTGTACATGTTTGAATGATGAGTTAGCATATTTTCATCCGATTCACTCCCTAAATAGCCACAATGGCCAGGGATAGGCCAGGTCAAAGGCAGGAACCAGGAGTTTCATTCTGGTCTCCGGCATGGGAGCAGGTGCCAGAACCATTCAGAGCCTCAGAGTTTACCCATTGGAGAGACTAGCCAGCAGCCACATCAAACAAGAACAGCCAGATGTGGTAAATCCACCATTCCTGATCACAGACAATTATAAAATCACATCTCTTATCAAGTTTTAAAAACTTATTTGTATGAAGGCACATTAACTACAGGGAGAAGATTGAATGTGGCAGTTAGGCCAGATTTTGCTTAAAATATTTTACAGTCCTTGGATTTTATGATTTCTGAGGTGTTAAGTCTTTAGAGTTTCCAAACTTCAGAGTAGATTTGGAAAAATATCTGTAAAATGGAAATAACTGAAAACTTTCAAGTTTGTTTCCTCTGCTTTGTAGAATACACATTTTTTTAAATTTATTTTTATTGGAAAGGCAGATCAAATTTAGGGAGAGGAGGAGAGACAGAGAGAGAAAGATCTTCCATTTGCTAGTTCACTCCCCAAAGGGCCACAACAGCCAGAGCTGAGCCAATCCAAAGCCAGAAGCCAGGAACTTCCTGCAGGTCTCCCACGCGAGTGCAGGATCTCAAGGCCTTGGGTCAACCTCGACTGCTTTTCGAGGCTACAAGCAGGCAGCTGGTTGGAAAGTGGAGCAGCCAGGACATGAATTGGTGCTCATATGGGATCCTGGTGCTTGTAAGGCAAGGATTTAGCCACTGAGACAATGCAAGGAGCCCTTTGTAAAATACAGTTTGTTAGTGTGGGAAATGTGAGAAAATGAAGTTGCAATAAATTTCTAACTTCTGTTTAGTAGATGTTTTATTAAAATACCTTCTTTTTGTCTTTTAGTGAATAATCCTATACCTTCCGATTTGAAGTCAGAAGCAAAGAAGGCTGCTAAAATACTAAGAGAATTCACAGAAATAACATCCGGAAATGGGCCTGATAAGATTATTCCTGGTAGGTAAATTGCTCAGTATGTGTGGTTGTCTTAAGTCATGCCCTGCCTTCCTTTTTGTTTTTTTAATATTTTTTATTATTAATATTGTTTTTTAATAATTTTACTTAGTTGATTAGGGTACAAAGGGTCAAGGGCTACAGGGTGAAAGTGGGTGATACCATTGTTTCCACACTAATATTATCATTTTTTCCCTGTATCTGGGGTCAGGGGAGAAACAAAGGGAAAAGCCCCACCCAGCCCTGCCTTCCTTTAGTCTTACTGCTGGCTGGCAGCTGAACCAGGGACACCACAGGAGATATTTACATTCTGTGGCAGATTAAGAAAGAATTATCCAAGGATTCCCAGCACAGCTGCAGGTGTTCAGGTTGTTCAGAATGGCCCCTGAACCTTTCACACTGAGGATCAGACTCAGCCTGGGACAACAAAGCAGGTTTCAGCAGATTCCTATTGATGGCGACCCAGGGAGCTGGTCCACACAGCCTGCCAAAGTGTGACCCTGGGAACCACTCCCTGCTCAGTTCACCTGTGTGTGTGTCAGTGTCTGTGTGTGGGTCAGGTGGCAAAGCTTGCAGCATAGTAAGCAGGGAGGAATGGAGAGGCCCCGGGCTCCGTCTGTTCATTACCCATTGCATCTCCCTGACCCTGTGCCCCAACTGACTCTGTCGTCCTTAGGCTTGATTAGCATAAACTCACATTCCTGCCACTCTTTTTATCTGCAGCCCATGTGATTGCCAAGGCCAAAGGTCTTGCCATTCTCTCTGTGGTCAAAGCTGGGTTTCTAGTGACCGCTAGAGGAGGCAGTGGGATTGTGCTAGCACGGCGACCAGATGGAAGTAAGTACATGTGGGCTCGTGGCATGGGCATGCAACAACCCTGATACTGCCTTCTGCCTCTCCCTCAGATACCTTCAAGGGAAGGCTGCAGGGTGCCCCCTGGTCCCCTACTGCCCAGAGGAGAGCCTCCATGTGGGAGTCAGGACACAAGAGAGATGTGGCCTCTCTGGTGCCCTTCCCCCGAACTGGTAGGGAGATCTGACTCCTGTCTGTGTGTGAAGCCCTCTTGCCACAGCTCTGCGCTGTGGGGTTGTGTCTGTCCCATGAGCTTGCTCTCATCCTGTAAATGGCAGTGTCACGTCAAGGGCAGGATAACTGGGTGTCACTTTCTAGGGTAAAACCTTTATGTTTCACAGATGAAATCCCAAGCACCAATACTTACATTAACATTTAGAACGTTAGTAGGTGCCGTGACTAGTGGCACCACCTTTTACAAGGTATAACACTTCCCTTCTGTCCTATAAGGCAGCACATGGTTCTAACAGCCATTTAGTGAGTAGCATCCACTTGCAACAGAGGCAGGCATCCATGGAGCAGCTGGCCGTGTCACTGTTGCCTGTCCAGGTACCTGCAGCTCCCAGGAACCCTGTGCCTCATAGCCCTCATGTGGCTGCTGGGCAGAAGCCACAGAAGTCCCTCATTCTTGGGCAGACTTGCGTCCCCAGGGTCTGTCGGGATCTCCACTGTGCCGCCTATCCGCAGGTTTCTGGACCTGAATTTCTCCCTCCCTTTTGCAGAGGTTGATTTCAAACCTATCCAGGTCAGGCCCATCAGTCCCAGAAAGACTTCAAAAATGGATGTGCACATCCCTGTTGCTGGTAGGACTGGTCACTGTGGCTGGGCCAGTCCCTACCTCAACCTGAGAGCCAGCCCAGGATTGCCATGCTGGGGTGTGGCAGCCAGCAGAAAAGGGATAAAAAAGCTTCACCTGCACTCACAGCTGCCCTGCCATGCTGACTGCTGCAATGGCAGGAGATACTGGTTCCCAGCAGGCCCCAGTGCTGTGTGTCAAGGCAGGCGGGGTGGTCATACTCTTTTCCAGCGTCAGGAAATTCATCTTTCTGGAATTCTAATGGGCTTGATTAACAGCCCCAATCCTGGGCTGCCATCAGGCATGGAAGGTGTCAAGAGTTTTATACCCTCAAAAATCTATAGTAGAAACAATTTAGTGTCATTACCCTGGAGATGTGCTTACAAAAACTATGTGTGTAATCTTACTAGTGACTATAGCTACAGCTAAATTATTTTATAACAATGTCCACAGTGGAAATCATCAAATGCTGTGGGTGTCTCGGTGGTTTGGTTTCCTGCATGTTGGAAGGCAGAGGTTGGAAAACATGGCCTTGTGAATCTGGCAGTCAGCTGGTGCCTGTCAAACCGGGGCTTCTTAACAAAGGAAAATCGTGTCTGGTTGTTTTCAAAGTAACGCCATCTATGTCTCACCATGTCATTCCTGTGTGTGATTCCATGTTGGAACAACGTGTATGTTTCAGCATGGTCTGCACCCTCAGCCATCGGGATAGCTGGGCTCGGCGGAGGATTTGAAATAGGAATAGAGGTAAGTGCCTGCTTGGTGTACAAAGGTCCAAAGTCATGGCCATTCCCATGCTGACTTTGCCATGGATGCCTGTGAGAGACAGCCATCATCTGTGTTCCTCCGAAGCTGCCCATGGCTCAGTGGCTCCCTGCCTGCCCTCAAGGGAAGGGTCTTTCCATTCAGCCTGCCTTCCTCCACCCACCCTCCTTGCCATCTTGGGCATGACTTCCTGTGCTATTTGCTTCACTTTCTACATCTCCATATGCTATCATCACAACAATAAATGATACAGTAGTTAGTCGAAGAGAGAGTTGAGAGCAGAAAGCGTTTATTTACAGTTTTGGTTCAGTTCAGTGGATTTGGATTGCAAAGCCTCACTCAGAGAAAGGCTTCATTCCACTGTTATGAATGTGACATTGGATATGTTACATTCCTCAGGTATGCACTGAATAACATTATTACACTGTACAAATTATTCATGGTTCATTTTAAAGCTGTTAAGAAAGAAGAAATGTAAGCAGAGACTGCTGCTCATGTGCACAGGCCAAGCACTGTACATGCTATGTGACGGTCACTGTGCCACGGCCAGTGCTGTGGCCTGCCCGTCTGTTGCTTATCCTGTAGAAACTCTCAGTCTGCCTCCAGCCCATGGAGTCGCATGTTATGCTGCCTCTTGTGAATGGAGCATCCTTTATCATATGGTGTTCCACTTTTAATCTGCAGGGCTGCCTGTGACAGTTAAAGTCATGGGCCCCTGTGAGATTTGGATGAGTTCCAGGCTCTAGGCTCCAGGCTGCAGCCTGGCTCAGCCTGTCCTTGTGGCCATTTGGTGAGTGAGCCAGTGATTGGCATCTTGTTTTGTCTCCATTGCTGTGTCTTCAGATCAACAATATTAAATCTTCTCTTGCTGAGTTCCTCACCCAGTGGCACTGCAGCCACCTGAGTCTGGGACTGCGCTCCTGTGTTCTACCCGCCCTCCCCACCCAGACCTTCCCAGGAGCATCTGAAATTCCCCCAGCTGTGCATGGCCTCTGAGCTCAGAGAGCAGGTGCCTATCATGAGCCTGACTGCTTAGTGATTGCTCTGGACTGTTCCAGTGAAGTCTGCTCCCATTTCCCTTACAGCGCTGCAGCTCTTTGGAGGGTCAGTCTTGATCTGGCTGTACCCCAAGCATAGTGGCCCTTATTCAGGGCTGGCACCTGTGCCGCTGCCTGGCACGGGTCTGTTCTCCTTGCTGAGCCCCCTCGTTCAGGGGTCTCCTCTTGCTGCTTTTCTGACTTCCTGCCAAGGGTTCAGCCTGTAGCTCATTGATGTGCCATCCTCCTGTCACTTGGCTCACCAGCCCTGTATATCCACACCACTCTTGTACTTCTCCACTCTGTTCCCTCCAGGAGGGCTTGAGAGACACTGTTCTCACTCATGCATCTTTCCCCAAGTTGGAGGTGGGTGTAGGGGCCCTGTCCTCCTGAGGCTCCCCTTCCCCCCCAGGATGGTGAATGAGGCCAACACAGTTGGCATCCTGGGGGTTCTTGAGAGGTGAATAGGCACTCCAGACCTGTCACCTGGAAGCACACTCCCTCCCACAGCTGGGAGCTGTGGGGCTCCTTAGCTTCACCTTCTGGCCAGGAGTGCTTCAGGCTGGCCTGGGGGTGAGGGTGGGGCTGCCCTGGTCCTTGCCTGGTGCCTGCCTACACTGCAGCTTCCCTGTGTTGAGTGTGTGTGTATGTGCACACATGTGCACATGCCAGCATTTACTAATTTAAACTTGACTGTAACTGTTTCTGAACAAGTGTGTTTCCACCTCTTAGGTCTCAGACCTGGTGATAATCCTGAACTATGACCGGGCAGTGGAAGCTTTTGCAAAGGGCGGGAACCTGACGCTGGGAGGGAACCTCACTGTGGCCGTGGGGCCCCTGGGGAGGTGAGTTGTGGCTCAAATGAAAGGTAAATGGAAATGAAGGCGTCTGTGACTTTTACATGCCCGAGGATCCAGGTTCCTCACAGGCAAAAACACAACTGGTGTGTGTCATACGTTCCAACTATTTTTAGAAGCAGTAAATGTTCTGAGGTTCTTGGTGTAGGAAGAATCTGAGGGCTCTGGGTCTCGTGCTGCATCCCCCACATCCCAAGAGTGTCCATCCAGGCTGCGGGGAAAGGGCCGAACTAGCAGGAGGACATGTGGACAGGAGGCCACTGCTCAGTCGCCAACATCCCTGCAGGAACCTGGAGGGAAACGTCGCTCTGCGGAGTCCAGCGGCCGTCTTCACCTACTGCAAGTCCAGAGGGCTCTTTGCTGGCGTCTCTCTGGAAGGCAGCTGTTTGATTGAAAGGAAAGAAACCAATCGAAAGTAAGTTCAAGCTACAGTGGAAAGAAAGTGTGAAGGGACAATACCACTGAAAAACTGATGTACTTCTGAGATCCGTGAGCACATGTGTCTATTAAAACATGCATTTTGTTTCTTTGAAAGACAGTGACAGGACAGTAGAGTCAGAGAGGTCTTCCATGCACTGGCCCATTCCCCAAGTGGCCAGGCCAAAGCCAGGAACAGGAGTTCCACCTGGTGTCCCACCAGGGCCGCAGGGTTCCAGCCCATGGGCCATCTTCTGACGCATTTCCAGCTGCAGCCGCAGGGAGCTGGATCAGAAATGGGGCAGCCGGGCTCAAACATGGTTGTTCTGTGTGGTCCAGCATCATAACCCATTGCACTGCAACACCATCCTGCCCCCTGACTCTGTTTAATACAACAGCATGGAGCCCCAAAGGCATGTGTTTAGAATTTGGGTTAGGGGCTGGTGGTGGGTGCAGCAGTTACAAAGCTGCTGGTGTCACCTCTGGGCTTAGATCCCAGTTCCATCATGCATTCTAGCCTCCTGCTGGTGTACACATGGCAGGGCAGTGCGTGGAGCCTCAAGTGGAGGCCCCCAGCTTCAGTCTGGCCTGTCCTGATTAAGGCAGGTATTTCTGTCTTTCAGATAAACAGTGCCTAAATTCATGTAAAAGTAATACATCCTCACAGAAAATAACAGCTTTTGACTTCTCTACGATGAACATGGTTCCCTCTTTTCTTTGTTGTCTTCCAATACTTTTATGAGACAGTTTCTTGCCAGACCTGTTCAGTGGTACATGCTGTCTTGCACATGTAGCATGAGTCTGGGAGTGGAGGCTGGAGGTTGTGCTGCACTGTGTCCACCATGCTAGAGGTTGGGGTGCCCCCATCATAACCTGCACCCCTCACTACTAAGGCTCTCTTTTACTCTGCCTTTTTCTGCTGTGTCTAAGACAAGTTCTAATGAACAGTACAGTTTGATTTCAAAAAAGAGAGTTGGAAACGGCCTAAGAGATGAAGTAAAGCTGTGTTTGCTGGTGGCATCTGGGTCATTTTTCCCAAAGTCTCAGAAACTGCCGTAAGATTTGTGAAGGCCCAGGAGAGGGCAGGACTGAGCCTGAGAGAATGGATCACCTGGAGCCAGCAAAACCCCCTGCAATCTGGCAGGCCTTGGGCCTCGGCTTCTGGAGATGCTCAGAGTGCAGGGGTTTGTGCTCTGGTGGTTTGAAATGCAAACCAAGAAACAGAAAGCAGGGGGATGGTGAAGATGGTGAACCCTTCACCCTACAGAATCAAGAGCCGTGTTTGTTTTCATGGCTGAGTTATTAATTTGAGAAACGTAACTTAAGAATGCTTTTAAGGGCTCTCATTGTAGACCTCTGGCAGACTTTCCCACTAAAGGTCAATTGAACACTGAATAAACTAAGATAAATATAATGTTAATGAATCGCAGACCTTCCAAACATGTAAGGAAAATCTTTCTTTTAATTTTAGTAAAAGTAAACATTTGAAGGAAATTACATACAAAGCCATATACATAGATACCTTTCTTGAAAAATGTAATAAGTAAATGCCATAAAAATGTATGTACTTGTATATAAAACATTGTCCCTGGAAGTGTCCATGTGGGTGCATGTGTAAGGATTGGTCATTGTGAGTGTATGTGTAAGTATTGTATGTGCATGTGTGAGGATTGGTATGTGTGTAAGGATTGGGAGATTGTAAGTGTTGGCTGTGAACATGTGTAAAGATTGTGTGTAAGGACTGGTATGTGTGTAAGGATTGTGTTTGTAAGGACTATGTGTATAAGGATTATGTGTGAAGATTGGTGTGTGTGTAAGGATTGGAGTGTGTGTAAGCGTTGGTTGTGAACATGTGTAAAGATTGTGTGTAAGGATTGGTGTGTGTGTATAAGAATTGTGTGTAAGGATTGCTGTGTGTGTATAAGAATTGGTGTGTGTGAGGATTGGTGTGTGTGCGAGGACTGTGTTTGTGTGTAAGGATTGGTGTGTGTAAGGGTTGTGAAAATGTAAGGATTGTGTGTGAGGATTGGTGTGTGTGCGAGGACTGTGTGTGTAAGGATTGGTGTGTGTAAGGGTTGTGAAAATGTAAGGATTGTGTGTGAGGATTGGTGTGTGTGTGAGGATTGTGTTTGTGTGTAAGGATTGGTGTGTGTGTAAGGATTGTGTGAGGATTGGTGAGTGTAAGGGTTGTGAAAATGTGTAAGGATTGTGTGTGAGGATTGGGGTGTGTGTGTAAAGATTGTTTTTGTGTGTAAGGACTATGTATAAGGATTGTGTGAAGATTGGTGTGTGTGTGTAAGGATCGGTGTATATGGATGTAGAAGTATTGGGGTGTGTGCCTATGTGAACGTGTGTGCATATTTTAGTATTTTGTGGGGAGATATGCTTTTGTATTACTAATGGACAACTCACCAACACTGTTGCTGTTATTGCCTCTTGGAGTGAACTTGGGGTGGACTTAGAAGTTGAATGTGAGATGTGGCCTTGATTGTTAAAGGTTACGACAAGGCATGTGTGAAATGCTAAACATGAGTGATCATGCAGGTGTGTGTGCTGCTTTTCACTCCAGAGAAGATCCTTGTGTGTTGAAGAAATATTTGTGTTTCCGGCTAGATTCTATTGCCAGGACATCCGTGCCTACGACATCCTGTTTGGAGAGATGCAGCCACCAGCCCAGGCAGATGGTCTCTACGAGATCCTCAACTCCTTCACTGAGAAGTATGAGAGTGCTGAACAGCGAGCCAATGCCAGGAGAGCAGCACGGGAGCAGCAGCGGCAGGAGGCCTCGGTAGGCCCATCTCTACCCTCATTGTCACAGGGTCACCCTGGTCACTTCCTGCTAGCCCCTTGACAATCAAGCACACCTTCCATGTGCTGTCTGAACAAGAGCTGTGAGGCAGAACCTGGAATGCTGACTGATGTACCAGTAGCATCTGCGACCTAGCAGCCATGCTGTCAGGCCACAGCACCCTGCATGGGATGCCTGGAAGCCCACAGCTTGGGCCAATACTGCAGTTCTCTGCTTGCCAGCTGCTGTCACAGATTCTTGGGATGGGCACGAGGCACCCTAGCTTAGGCTTGTGGTTCCCTCACACTGGATCCAGTGCAGGGCATGGAAGCCCCTCATTGGGAGCACCCAGCATGCGCCCTGCAGGGGAACCTTCCACAGAGATGGCTTGAACCTCGTTTGTGTTTGTTCCATTCAGGCTAGAAATGTACCTCCCAAGCCAGCAAGCAGACCCCAACAACCACCCGTGCCAGGGCAGCTGAGCTCCGACTCCCACAGTAAGTTGGAGTAATTGTTGTTAATAACTATGGAAACTTTAAACTATATTGTTAAACTTGAGACCCCAAAAGAACTGTGTTTAAAAAGAAAATCTGACATGTTCAGGCTCTTCTGTGTACACCAGATTCTCTGCTATAATTTCTGAAGACATCTCCTTCATAAATAATTTATCTTTGAAGTTTTTCTCATTCATTTTGTCATTTTTTCTGAAGATTGTGATTGTATTGATTTGAAATGAGAACATGACTGTCACTCATATGTGGAAATTCATGTTTCTGAGTGCTAATTTTACCACACTGTGCTGGAGTCCAAAGGTTGTTTATGGGGTGGTTTTAGCCAGATGGATTTGAGGAAGTGTCAGGCTGTGGTCTTACCCACCTTCCATTTCTCATTTCTGGATCAATAACTTTAATTTTATGTGTGAAGTTTAAAAGTTATTGATTGCTGTACACAGGAGCTTATAAAGGAAGTGATCTTAACATGACAGCCAGCTGCTGGACACGGGTGCAGCAAGTTCACTGTCGGCCCCTCCCCGAGGACTCTGTCCAGGCAGAGGAGTTCTCAGCTGAAGAGCACCCTCTCTGCTGCCTACACGGGTCTGTGGTCTGGACTCACCAAGAGCTGGTCCCGCCACTTTCGGCCACCTGCCCTGTCCCTGGCCCTGCCCTCACGGCCAGGCTGAGGGTGAATCTGCTCAGGTTCTTGTGAGGAACCCCTAGTTCCTCCACACAGCACTGCTCAGAGTATAAGCCAGAGCCAGGCTGAAGTACAGGGCCAGGGAGAGACTGGTGAGCCCCAAACCTTCTCACGGACGAGGGACTGTGCAACCTGATGATGGGCAGTTCAGAATTCCCAGCAGTCCTGGAGCAGGAGGCAGACTTCTGTGCACCTGTATGCTGGGTACTTCACCCACCACACGTTTGGAGGGCCTCCTGATGGGGGACACCCCTGTGAGTCTGGAAGTGGTGACACTTCCCATCGATCCTGATAGGTGACACCCCCATGGGTCCTAATGACACCACCATGGGTCTTGACAGGTGACACTCCTCATGGGTGCTGATAGGTGATGTTTCCCTGGGTCCTGACGGGTGACACTCCCCTGGATATTGATGGGTGATGTCCCCCTGACACTCCCATCCATCTCTGGGATCTAACACCTTTGCGTGGCCAGGACAGGACTTGGCATCATCCTCTGTTTTGTGTATGCTAGAACCTTCCCTCATCTTTTGCTTCTTTGCAGGTAACATGAACAGACGCAGGCTCTATCCTGAGCTCCCCAGCTGTCAGGACAAAGCAGGTGAGTGGACTCAGTCCAGTGCCTCTGACAGCCACACACACTCAGTGATGGACAGGGTGCAGCCTCCAAGGGAACCCTGTAATTTCCTCTGTTGGTTCTCCAACCTGCTGGGGATGGCTGCTGCCCAGGACACCTGCTCCAAGGGCCTGCCTGAAGGAAGGAACTGTCAGGACCCTGTCATCCCACAGCTCTGAGGGTCAGGCCAAGCCTGTTTGTTTTGACACAACTGTATCCAAGTTGCATTCCCTCTAGGCTTGGTCCCCAGTAGTTTCCTGAGTTTCAAGAATTAATATTTTCATCAAATGCTTTGCTGTTATCACTTCTTAAAATGCCATGATTTCTGCTGGTAAAAAATGGTCCTTCAACTTGTGTCATGAAGATACTTTTTACAAATTGTTCTGGGAAGAAACAAATGGTTATTTGCCAGTGGAGGAAGTAGATGTTAACGCTTTTGTCCCTTTGTGACATCACCCCACAGAACTGGAGGAGGGGGCCTGTGTCCATGGAGTGATAACTGGCGCTGGTTCTCCTCAGTGATTGCCATGCAGGTCCAATGTGTGGCAGTGTCTCAGACACTGTGAGACTTGGGGCCATGCCCCTCCTCCCCTAACGCAGGACATGAGCTGTCAAGTGTGCCCAGGGCCCAATCCACCCGGTGCTGTGGTTCTGGGTGTGGGGCGGCACTGGGAGCTAACAGCAGGCCTCCCCGCTCGGGGCTCACGGCCGAGACCACCAGAGCTTGGGCCTGCAGGAGCGTTAGATGTTCATTCTCACATAAGCAGTTTCAGCCTGCGGACTTGGGTTCCAGTTTTCAGAGGGGTCCCTGAACTTGACCTGCTGGCAGAGTGCAGAGACTGAGGTCTGGGTCAGGCAGCAGGCAGGTGACAGTGGACTGTTCTGTCGGAAGTGACAAGACTCCAGCTCTGCATGGGCCCTGGAGAGGCAGCAGCGTCGGTCCCTGTGAGACTCCAGGCACCTGCTGCCGCTGTCGGTTTGTGTTTGCATGTCAGGGCAGGACAACTTAAGTCATATTCTCATCACAACCCAGGTCAAAGTTCATTTCTAAAATGACCCCACAGCCGCTCCCCATGGGCCCCTCCCATGCTGGTGAGGGTAGCTGAGCTGGCCCACAGCCATCTCTGCAACTTGCTCCAAGGGCAGAACTGACCCTGCTGTTGGGGCCCCAGCCTGGTCCCTCATCTTGCCCACTTAGCAGTGCCACTGGCTGCAGGTGCTGCCCACCTCAGCTGCAGAGCTGCGAATACTGACCCTCTGTGTGGCTGTGCATGCTGTCCCTGGGCCAAGGGAAATGTAACTTCGGTCTTTTTTATTTTAGGCCATTTGACTCAACCAGTAGAAGTGACAGCACTGTATTCCTTTGAAGGACAACAGCCAGGGGATCTGCACTTCCAAGCTGGAGACAGAATCACGGTTTTATCCAAAACAGATTCCAATTTTGACTGGTGGGAAGGAAAGCTCCGGGGCCAAACTGGCATTTTCCCAGCCAACTATGTCACCATGAACTGAGTTGGCCGCATTCTTTTCTGAGAATCACAATCGTTTTCCTCACTGACACATGATCTAATCAAGCAGTATCTGATGTTAGCTTAAAAGTACTTCGACATAATTTTAATCCAGTATGTAATAATTTTTCTGAATACTACTAATGAACTTTTTGCCCATCTTTAGATACTTCATACTAATTTTAAAATGCTGTTTAATAGCTGATACCCTGTGATCCATATGGGCATGGTGGTTTGGTGTTCATTTTTAAATGCTAAACATTGGATCTGGATATATATATATATGTATATATATATAGTGACTGATTAATGTCAGTTTATTTACACAGTAGACAGAGAAAAATCACTCTGACCAGGGCCCTCAGACTAACACCAGGCATGAACACGTAAACTCAAGCCTTCAGACACCGCAGTGTCCTGAGGCAGGCTTCTGCAGGCCCCTGTGGCACCCACATGTACTGCATGTTGTCCCAGAACAAAACGAGCACCCGGACATTCAGTCAATACGGTTGCTCTCATTTTCTTTTTGGTGGTGGACAGAGTGGCTGGCTGTCCCTCATCTGCCATCACAGACCCCTCCCTGGACACAGTTGGACTCTGGGTGTTCTCTGTTATAAGGCTGCCCCACTCCAGGCTCCCCACCGGATGGCCACCAGATGACACCTGCCTTCCTACCCTGCTTCCCACCCTCTCCCACTTCCCTCTGTCTCTGGCTGCCTTTCTCTCCTCTCTCTCTGTCTCCCTCTCTCTCTTCTTATCTCCCTTTCTCTCCATTTCTCTCAGTCTCTGTCTCCCTCTCTTCTCCCGCTGCCTCTCTCTCATGTCGCTCTCTCTGTCTCCCTTTCTCTCTGTACCCATCTCTCTCAGTCTCTCTCTTTTCTCTCCGTCTCTGTCTCCTTTCTTCTTTCTCCGGTTCTCCCCATCTTTTTCCCACACCGGTCTCCCGTGGTGTCTCGTGCCATCTGTGGACTCCCCTTGGCTCTGACTTGCTTCCAGGACACCCTCAGTAGCCTAGCCCCATGCACAGTCCTCGCAGCCCCACACTGTGAGCACATACCCGCACTCTGGTTACAGGATCCTTCAGACAGGAGACTAAAGACCTGCATGACAATCACCAGCAACAAGGAGACCATGATGTGTCCACAGATCCTGCAGTTGTCTCCTCCCCTGACTCAAGGACCCTGCATGAGCTTCCTGATCCCGCAGTGACCTTCCCAAGCCCACTGAGTGGATGTCATGCTCAGAATGAGACCATGTGAGGGCCAGGCCAGGAGCTGCCTTCTGGGGTTGTATGTGAAACACAGGAGCTGAAGTATAGGAAATCTGGATGGATGTCAGTGTGCAGGTCTCCCTACCCAGTCTCCCCTGGCTGAGGCTACGCTCGTATCCCAGCATCTCCATGGCCAGCTGACGCACCTGCTTGGGCAGGGCTTCATCCAGGCCTCCAAACCATGAGAAACGTCCTGCTTGTGTCATGCCTTGTTAGGCACAGACCCCACCCAAAAAGCATCAGACCTCAGGCCTCCAGAGTGAAGGAGTGAGGCCCTGCGGGACAGGGACAGCAGCACAGCTGAGTGAAGGGTGAGGGCCTGAGGAGATTGGGGGTACAGCAGCTGAGTGAAAGGGTGAGGGCACTAGCTTAAAATTCTGTGAGACCAACTGGGCCACTGCTGTGCTGGGCTGTGTGCTGGCACACTTGCTATGTGGTCTCATGATTGTGATTTCATTATCATCGGTGACAACAAAACTACCTTCACACACGAGACCCATAGAGCCCTTCGGCCAAGTAGCACAGGTGGAAGTTGCTACCTGAGGCACCTGTAGTCTTTGGCGTGCTGCGGGGAGCCCCCCCACCCAGACTGTGACGCCGGTTCAGAACACACCATCTGGGCCTTGAATACTGGCCCTCACCAGCACAGATCCAGCAGCAACAGTGGTCTGGTTACCACACGAGAATCTAGACTTCCTCTAGTTCTGGTGAATTCTCTGTTGCTGGTGTCATGCCTGCTTAGTGGATCCTGAATGTTCCTGCTGATAGAGTAAACCAGTGTGGTTTGTGTCGCTGAGAAAAATGTGATTGGTCAAAAGCAACAATAATACATGTTTAATTTTACATAATTTGTTAAAAACTGGCAAATGATTTTTTTTTTCCTTTTAACTTATAGAACACTCATCTTCTCATTTAAATGAAGAAAACTCAAACCTGTGCTTCTGCTCCTGACCTGCCAGTTCTTTCCAAACCTCCCATCATGTAGAGACCCGAGGGCTGATCGCTGCTGTACCCCAACCTCTCAGGCCCTCACCCTTCACTCAGCTGCTGTACTCCAACCCCAGTGGCTATCACCCCTTCACTCAATTGCTGTACTCTAACCCCTCAGGCCATCACTCCTTCACTCAGCTGCTGCACCCCCACATCTTACCCTCACCCTTCACTCAGCTGCTGTATCCCACCCCTCAGTCCCTCACCTTTCCCTCAGGCAGGTGTACGTGAACTGTGGGCTGGATGGTGGATTTGTGTAGCCAGGGGCTGAACAGTGGATCTGTGAGTCCTGTGAGCTGGACAGCAAGTCTTTGTGGTCCATGAGCTGGACAGCGGGTCTGAGTGGCCCATGAGGATGGCCAGGAGCAGACATTCCAAAGGACTGAACTCTCAAGGAAAATGCTGGTGTTTCACACAAACAGGCTTCATTTCTGAGTTAAAGTCTTAGCCAGTGATTTGAAGCCCACATACAGGCTCAGTTTGTAAAACAACTGGCTCAATATTATTTTAATTGTACTTGACAGGAATGCTGTACTCTAAATACCAAACTAAACATCTCTTTCTAGGTCACTTACAAATATTCCTAAAAAAAAAAAAAAAAAAAGCCTTCCCTACAATTGCTCTTGAATTTTGGCCTAAACACTTACTCCTTAAAAATGACACTAGGACCTGGCACAGTAGCCTAGTGGCTAAAGTACTTGCCTTGAACATGCTGGGATCCCATATGGGCACCAGTTCTAATTCTGGCGGCCCCACTTCCCATCCAGCTCCCTGCTTGTGGCCTGGGAAAGCAGTCAAGGATGGCCCAAAGCCTTGGGACCCTGCACCCATGTGGGAGACCTGGAAGAAGATCTGGCTCCTGGCTTCGGATCAGCGCAGCACCAGCTGTTGCGGCCACTTGGGGAGTAAATCGTTGGACGGAAGATCTTCCTCTCTGTCTCTCCTCGTATCTCTATATCTGCCTTTCCAATAAAAATAAATAAATCTTGAAAAAAAAACCTTGATTGATTTCCCCTTTCTGCCTACCATAGCAAGAGAAACGCATGGTTTCCCAGTTATCTAAGAAAGCTTGTGCATCCCCTTCGTGGCACTAATGATTAGAGAAAACATCAAAGACGCCAACGTCCTTTCCCTAGTAAGATAACAGATTGTATTTGTCACTGTGTAATTTCAGTGCAAACACACAACTATGATACTTTCACAGGGCACGCAGAACACTTGGGAGCAGGAGGAAGCCGTTGTATTAACTACTTCCATGAATTAAAAGGTGGTTGAGGTGATACCGTGCAATCTGGCCCTTACTTATTCAAGGGGAGAGGGAGAAAGAGAACTTGCCCAAGCTTGGGGTCACTCCCCAAATGGCCACAGCTGCCAGGGCTGGACTAGGCAGAAGTCAGAGCTGGGAGCTCCATGTGACTGCCCCATGAGAGTGACAAGGACCCAAGCACTTGGACTGTCATCCATAGCTTGCCCAGGCACATTATCAGGCAGCTGGATTGGAAGAGGAACAGCCAAGATCCTAACTGGCTTAGCTCATTATGCCACAACACAAGCCACATCAGTTTTTACTTTTAAAATGCTAGTTTTACTTCTTATCCATGAACATGTTGTGGAGTGTGCCATGTGAATCCCATGTGTTGAATAACTTCTCACTTTGTGCACATTATTTCCAGCCTTACTGCTGTCTGACTCTGGCATGAGCACATACATTCTGTGGCCGCTGTGACCACACCCTGCTCTCCTGAAAACACTCTGCAAATACTCAAGAGAGATCTACATGTCACCATGTTGCTCCCAGCAGACAAGATATATAGGCACCACCCAGAGGCTGCTTTGGAGCTTCAGTCACTCCAACTCTTCCAAGATCTGAATATCTTCGGGACTGGTGAGGTCCTTTCAAAAACTTAGATTAGGGTAGGGGCTTACTTGTACAACTGTATATCACCATGTACCTGTGTATCATTGTACACACACCTATAACCTTACACCCAGATACCACTCTACACTTGTGCATTTCTGTTTACCTGAGTACCAGTGGTGCTGGAGCAGGTTTAAACGTCAGTGGCTCTGCTTCTGTGGTCTACAGGGGTGTGACACTCTGAGTTCTCTGGGGTTTCCTGGCACTGGGAGGCAGAAGTGATATGCCCTGACTCCCGCGCCTCCAGTACGCTAGGGCTAGTCCACGCGGGGCTACTCCCACTAATGTGCAGATTGAATCCCCACAGGATCTTTCCTGCTCCCTAACTACTTCCTTCCCACCAGCGCCATCCCGGGGCTGGGCCAGACGTTGTTGAGAACCACAAACTCTCGCGAAGCAAGGCGTGGACAGGGACGTCAACATGCATGTGCTGAAATAAGTTTATCTTCTTTATCTGTTCCCACAGACGCTGTGAGGGCCCCCCGCCCAGCAGGTGTCCCAGCCCGCTGAGGACTACTGTGCCCAGCCAGTGGGGGATTCTCGCTCCGAACTGCTGAGCTTGAGCTCTGAGCAAGCGGGGACCGCCGTGACGGTTTTGGGGAGCCCCCTGGTGGCCGTATGCCCGAGGGGTGCGTTGAGGCGGATGTGTAGTTCTTAGGCAACCCAAGATCTTGAGAAGAAACCAGGGCTTTCCCCAAATCGGCCCGGTCTGCGGTCTGGCAGGGACGCAGCCCTGCTTGTCCAGCTGGGGGAGCACCACAGCGAGTGACTGCAGCTCTGGTCCTTAGGGTCCTTAATATCCAAGCCGTCCCTCTGCCTCAACGTGAAAGCTGACGCCTGCGGCCTCGCCTCAGAACAAGTTTGCTGATTTCCTCAGCGGTGAAGAGAGTAGCTACAGCCTCATCTTGGACCCAACTAGCACAGAATCTGACAAATGTCTCAAAAAAAAAAAAAAAAAAAAGGCAGCTACTATTGTCACTGAGTAAATTAATTCCAGTAAATTGACTTTAGGAGAATATTTTGTAGACAGGCTTGAAATCTAAGCATCCTGATAACATTCAGATTTTTAAGGATTTTGTTGCAGGATT